TCGGGATGTTAAGAGCATTCCATGGACTATAACAAAAAGTGTATCTCGAGCCGGTTTCTCAAACTTACTTACCCCACTGTTGAGATCTTCATATTAGGATGAATACTTAAAACTTAAATTCAATCTGAACATTTTGAGGAACTGACCTCTTAAATGTGTCAGGCCATAGTGTGTGGATGTTAACCCCGTCGATCTGTGAGGAAATTCCTTTTGGATTTTGTCGGAAGACTTTAATGTGTGAACTATGAATTAAGGTTTTAGATTAGAAAATAACCCCAGCATGATATGTTTAGTATGATTATAATGTTGTAACGAGAGAAGGTAAAAACCCTGTATAAGTTTGGACCTATTTTTCTTCAAATAAACTGATCCCACCTTTTGGATTGGGACAACTTAAAAGACATCTGCGCTCTCCTCTCCTGCTTAAAAGGTAAGATTGCACACTGCCACATTCACACTTAGGTAGGGCCACACCTCATTTACTGATATCAAAATCCTTCGGGGTTGCTTAAACAGATTTAGGGGGTCGTCTGAATTGAAACAGCAGTTAATTGAACCTGGTTCTTCAGGAGTTAATAGAGGTGAGATCTTGCTGACGTTGGTGGATCTGAGCCAAGCAGCAAACTTACATAGACTCAATAACTTCGGTTAGGTTAATTAGGAGGTCTGAGTAATTTGCCGGAATAAATTATCAGTCCTCCCGACTCTTACATGGCGCCCAACTGTGGGACTCTGTGAGAAGTTATACTTCTACAGAGTTAAAATACAAGAACCAAAACGGCCTAGTGACAACGGTCGATGAGTCTCAATCAGCGAAATACAGGCTGAAAGTCTTGTTAAAATACCTACCCAAATCCTAGAATATATATTTAAACCTAAAAGTGTAGTAATTAAAGTTGATACTATTGCACCGGACTGAGGGTTATATTATATCGGATATTGTTGTCTGTTAAAGAAGCTAAAGTAGTCTTTCTTCCCCTAGCCAAACTGGGAAGCCCCTGTGGTCCCTAATGCACAGGTTTGGTGGCTAGTAGTTATTAGTGAAGTCAGCCGTAGGAGCACTGCTCAGTACCTGTCCAATTACTTTGAAACTTATAGGTAGGACTTGACAAAGAGCTGCGGTTAGAACTTTTGCGTTAAAACATAATGTGGTGAAGAGTTAATAGGATATTTAATAAAGATAAACCATAGGTCTAAAGGGTACCTAGGCTGTTGGAAAAGCTCGAAGCTCGATACATAACCCTCTTAGTTGAGGTATCCGCATGCGCTAGCTGCATCCAGGAGAGTAACCTAGAACCAAGTGACGGTATAGTCGGACTGATCCTCCGGTGTGAGTAATAGCCTAGGAACTTGCATGTGTATAAAAGAGTGAACTTAAACCCTTAAATAATGGCGGATGAGGTTAGAACGCAGTTTTTTAATGACTAAGCAACAGATTGGGAGGGATACACAGAAGCTAGATCCGGACCTTCTGCCCCCCCTGGTCAGCTTAGCCCAGACCCACGGGCGTACCGCGACCTAAATACGTTCCTGTTAGACTACCGTTTAGACAGAGAGCAACAAGCAGGTGGTATAATGTCTGAGACCCTACCTCCACCCTACGGAGATGATAGCTCACAAACGCCACTTATGAGTATCCCATCTAATACTCCTAGAAGAAAACACATTGTTAGACCTGATATTCAGGGGAAAGGAATGTTGGATATAATAATGGCAGATATTGAAAATCTTAAACTGGATCAACCAACCATGTTAGTGAACCCTGCTAATAGGGAGCTAAAACATGTAGGATGAATAGCAGCAGCTCTGGCAAAGAGAATAGATCCTAGCATGCAAGCACAGAGCGATAATATGATAAGGACTATTAAACTGTCAGAAGGCGGTATCACCGGTACCAAAAGAAAAATGACTGAAGTGCAAACCCAACTCCCACTAGCATTTAAGCCTCCAACACTCGCAAAAAGTTCAGACCGAGCCAAAGCTATTACAAACGCCAAATATCCTTATGTTGCCATGTTAGCAAAGCGCTACCTGGCTGTATCTGCTACCTCTGTCCCTAGAGAGAGGGTGTTCTCCACAGCAGGAGACATTGTTAGTGCCAGCAGATCTGCCCTTTCGGCAAGCAATGTGGACAAGTTCATCTTTCTTAAAAAAAACATGAAAATACAATGACAAGCCTAATGTCATGGCTGCTTAGGTGAGTGTACAGTACAGTTCAAGTACAGATTATTTCAGTTCATTGAAATGCTGCACCTTAATGTTTATTTTATTATATTTTTTATTTATTTGAGTAAATACATTATTCACAGTTCAATAATAATTAAAACCCCCCCAAAAAATATGTTATATTTTGTGATCATTTTTTCTGCTGTACCGAAAACGTACCGAACCGTGACCTAAAGCCCGAGGTACGTACCGAACCAAAATGTTTGTGAACTGTTACACCCCTACTAAGTTGCTTTATGAATTAGTGTGATATACATTGAAGTAGCCTGTAGCTTTATCAACGTCTGCATGTAATCAACAACTGACTGCCAATCAAATAAAGAAAGTACAATTCAAAAACAACAATATGTATTGTCAATGAACATTGAACTATACAGATATGCAGTAAAAATACTGTGGATAATGTTCCTCTCTGGCTGCATTTAAAATAAAACAGGAGAATATAAATAAAATAGCTTTTGAAAATATGTGCATCTTAAAAGTGCTTAATTTTAGATAAATAAAATAATGTGTAGCAGCAGCTTGAGTTTCCCTTTTTCTTTGTTAACCGTTTCACATCATGACTTAACAGTTTCAGCCGATTATAGAACAATATCAGTCTTTACACATCATAACAATTGAACAGTTTTAAAGTTTCTCTTTCTCTCCCTCTTATATTGCAGTCCCTCACTCACTTTTTTTTAATTCAGTGCGAGAATTGAGCTTGAACTTGTCCTGCCAGGAGTTTAGATCTGGGCTGAAATTGGTTAGCCTGCGCTGGAACGATATTTAGTTTTCATTTTGATCCTGGTGGACTGATCATATTGGGCTCTGAGACTGCTTATTTGTTGTGACCTCAGTTCGGACTTGAGAGGGAATGTTTGGTCAAACACTTTGTGTTTTGTCTCATAGTGGCGTTTTGGCACTTTTAATGAGCACCACGGTCTCTGAACAAATGAGACACACTGGTTCTGTGCTCCCAGTGGGCAGGATGAACATGAATGAGTCCACTCAGGGTTAAAAGCTCTGTTCTCACTGTCCACTTTCCTCTTCTTGGAGAGCGCCATGTGTCATTATTTGTCTCTCCCTGTCTGCCGCTAACACGCCTGTTCACTCTCCTCTCCGCTTCTCTCCCTGTATCACTAATTATTCTCTTTACTCACTTTCCTCTCCGCTTCTCTCTGCCGCGCTCTCGTCTCTTCTTCTGTGTTTCTCTCCCTGTATCGCTCACTCTTCTCTTTCAACCCCTGTCGGCGGCGGTTAAAATAGAATCGCCCCGTCAAAATTGAAATCCCCTATTAATGTATTGATTATAGGTCCGGGTCCGTATAGGTCGGCGTCTGGGTCCGGATCCGGACCGCTGTCCGCCTGTTGCCGACCCCTGAGATCGATGGTTCGGCCACACGAGGCCGACATGGAAACGCAGAAAATGATAACAATAACGGGTCCCAAGGTGGGTAGATCTGCAAACGAAACGCTCTAGGGGGGCAAACGGCTCCGTGTTTACGCCTATACGATCATTTCCTGATATCGTTGAAGCAATAGCCCCGCCTCGCCCCGCCTCGCCCCGCCCCGCCCCGCCCCGCCTCGCCCCGCCTCGCCCCGCCTCGCCCCGCATCTCCTGCTCAGAGATCAGCTGCTGGGCTGTCAGAAGAGGGGGAGGAAAAGAGAGGCTCCGTTTTTTATTCTTATATTATTATATAGAGTCGTTATTAATTTGTTTTAAAGCTCAATAAATAACAAAGAAGACCTTTGACTGGCACTTTTCTAATTTTGCTTTTGCAACTTTAACGGACATGTTGAACAGCGAAAAAAAATCTAACTGAAACTCTGCTGCACGGTCCCCTCGTCCCTTGGAAGAGGCGGAGAGGTGGGTGTTTGTCATCTGCTGGTGGACTACCGGAGAGATTTACAGCAGCAGGAGCAAACGCTTGCCTCGGGGAGGGAGAAAAAGAGCCAGAGCGGAGAATAAACAGAAGGGCAACCATGGCAATCATGCGCGGGAAGTCTTCTTCGCTGCTTTTGTGGCAGGACTACAGCGCCACTTACAGGCCTGGCATATGTATACAGCGTCTCCAGCGCTTTCGAACGGTCTCGTGTGAACGGACACGTTTCTGACTTTTTTGATAACAATTGCGGTCCGTTTGCGTTATCGTCCTCGTGTGGCCGGGGCTTTAAATCAGTACAGTACAACAGACTGGTACATGTGTTTACCGCTACATTTACAAGGATATCTGTTTAGGGCTGTTTAGTTCATTCTGATTCTGATCTGGCTCTTTCATGTTTGTTTTACAGGCATTCATTCCCTCCAAACTTGATTTATAATGTTGACGAGGTGTCACTACAGTGCAGACACCAAAGCAGGTAGTGGCAGAGAAAGGATGATATGTTTTTTACTTATGCTCAGGATTAACCTTCAAAAAGTAAATTATTACTCAATTGACCCTCTAGATGGGGCAAGTTAAGCCACAAGACCACTTTCTTTTGAGTCATATTTTCATTGCCCTTTGTGATAAATGCATTATTTTCATTTTCATTGAAAGAAGACATCCTGAAATAAAGGTTGTTGTTGTAATTTGACTTCTATCAAATGTTTCCTTGTCTAGAGGACAACATAAGTACAAATTGGCTCATCTTACCCCACTGTTACCCCCTATACTGTATGTTGGATCATATACCGGTACAGCAAATATTTGCACATTTTAATGATATTTGAAGAGTTGTTGACTTCACTTTGTCCCCCTTTTCTGAAACACATAGAGCCCCTTGATTTAAATCATGCACTGGACAAACACTCCTGGATCAACAGATTCTTTTAATAAATAATATCATCATGAAACCCAAAAAACAGACGGAAAATGATTTGTGCACATCTGAACAACACATGTTTATCTTTTTTTATCATTACAGTAGCAGAAGTTATACAAAGCAGTTGATTCAAACACCAACAGGTCCAGATTACAGGGGGACTGCTTGGGGTGACGGGGGGGTCATAACCGTGGCGTCCTAGTCCATGAAGCCCCCGTACCTCTTCTGTATCTCACTGCCGTTCTCCCAGGCCCGTTTCAACACCCCCCCACTCTTGCTGCTCTCCACCAGCCACTCCGGCCTGCCCACCCGCCTCATGAAGCCTCCGTAGCGCTTCTTCAGCCCGCGGCCCAAAATGGCCTCCAGCAGGTCGCTCTGCGGGACCCCCCCCTCCGCCCGACGCATGAAGCCCCCGTACCTCTTCACCGCCTCCCCCCCCTGCTCGGATGCGGCGTTGAGGATCTTCAGGATCCCCAGGCGGATGTTGTCTTCCTCCTCCTGGTTTCCTGGATCCTCTGGGGAGGGGGGGGAGCGGCGGGACATAAAGCCCCCGTAGCGCTTCATGAAGCCGCCGTACTTCTTGGCCAGCTGGTGTTCTGGTGACTCCGCGGCCATGTCGGCGGCTGCCATGGCGCCCGCTGCCTCCTGGTCCTGGTCCTGGTCCTGGCGGGGATCAGGATCCAGGGGGGTCTGGGTCTCCTCGTCCAGCAGGAGGTCCCGGCACAGGCGCAGCTTCTGGCTGTCCAACACACCCTCACACTCAAGAGAGCATGTCTGGAAAAAGGAAAACAATCTTAATGACCTTTAAAATCGATATTAACAATCCAATGTTTGCCAGTTACAACTACCTTCATCCTTATGCCTTCATTGTAATATCCTGAATAATTAAAAAGCTTAGTTGAATACTCAATTCTGATTTGATAAGGAGGATCAAGGAAGAGAAGGAAAGATTTTAAAAAACAGAGCGCTGGACGGCAGAGAAATCTCCAAAAGAAGACAGACAGGAAATAAACACTAACAGGAACAGCAGAAGAAGACAGACAGGAAGTAAACAATAAAGAACACGGTAATGGCTCTGGCAGTTTTGAAAGACTGGTTAGTGGAAAAGAAAATGTGAACAGATTTGTCAGTTACAGAAAACCTCAATCAGTGCTGCTGTCAGTTTAAGATATGTTGTTGTTGTGGTTGTTGTTGTCGCAGTTCAAGACGTTTTTTTCTTAGCAGAAGCAATACGTTAATTTTCAAGTCAATAAAATCATTTTCAATTACTATTGTGAGGCAAGTCGTTTGTTTATTTAGTATGTGGCCGTAAAATAAGTGTGATAATGTGCTTCGCATTGGGCTTCATAATCACCCAGTTAGGTGATCTTTTTTCAATAATGACCGCCTCGCTGCACATTATCCCTCACTTAATGCACCGTAGAGATTTTAGAAAACACATTCATTTCAAGATTTCTTATCTGTAGTTTTATTTTCTAATGCTCGAACCCTTAAGGCCCAGACACACCAGGCAGTCACCAGAGAACTCGCCGACGCCGACGCCGACTGTTGCATCGGCGAGTTCTCCTGCGTCTTGGCCATGTGTCGCACTGGAACACACCGCAAAGACTTCAGCCGAGCACGTACGAACTGCGCATGCGTGAGTGGCAATAACTGTCCTTACCAGCAGGCGGCGGTAGTGTGTATTCGTCATTCAAAATAGGCAACAACCGGAAGACAGAGAAGAAGAACAGACTGATATAAACAAACAACAAATAGCGTGTGCGTTCCATTTTCACTCTCGTCCATGGAAAACATGTTTCGTGCGGAGCTATCAGCCATTGGAGTGTTGCTTGTGGAAGACATTCTCAAGAAACAGTCTCTCAAGAGGCAGAAGCAAAGAATTAGGAGAAACCGCACTAAATGGGTGAAATCATGGATACTACAGCGAGCGAGAAGGTCATGGGGCGTTGTGATATTTTCCTCAAGCTTTGGTAAAGTGTATTCTTTGAATGCAGATTTGGGTTCTGCCCGCTCTGTATTAATGTCATGTGGATTTTCCTGTCATGTTGACAGGTTATCATCATGTAGGCGTTGATAAAAGCTCATTCTAATGTTGTGTTATGTGTGTATGAAGGTACGAAATAAAGTTTTGCATTGCCTATCCTGCTATTTGTGTTTATTCTTTTAATCACACAGCGATAAGAAACAATAACAATGTGCCTACATAACTGTCAGTTGCAGCCCTAGCATGTGAGCACATAAAGTGCAGACATACTATAAAATCACAGTTAATAGACCTGCATCTGATGATCGCAGTGTTCTGGCGGGTGTGTAGTTTATTGAGTCAGCAATGTAGTAATGTATGTAATGTAATAATGGCCACTTCTTGCTAAATTTACATTTCCATGTGATGCTTTTATCCGAGGCGACTCACAATAGGTAAATGAACAGCGGTAGACAGCATCTCATTTACTTAGACATTGTACTTAAATCAGTGGTTTCTTGGCCCGATAGCTTGTGTCCGACACACGGCCGATTCAACATGTTGAATCGGCCGTGTGTCAACCGTGAAAGGCCAAATAAGGCGTGTCACGGCCGAGGGTTCGGGACACACCAAATTGACTTTGGGCGACAGGGCACGCTTCGTCGTCAGACAACCGAAGACGGCCGATTTCGGCCTGGTGTGTCTGGGCCTTTAGGTTCACCTCAGTGAAAAAGTATGGCTGACTTTGAATCAGGGTAACTGCTCAGTAATCCCTAATTTGCTAAATGTTTATAGCATTATAAGTGTTTTGTGTATTTCACAGCCTTTTGTTTAACTACTACTGTAACCGTATCTTTAAATACTAGCTTTAGCAAAATTTGATAATTTTAATTAAAAATAACTTTTGTAATTTGCTGAAACGATCACTAAATTGTTTCCCAATACCCCCCACCATAGTGCTCATTATGACATTAGCATTAGCATATTCTAGTGAACTATTTAGAGGAACAATTAACTTTAAGTTTCCACTTTACAAGTGTATATGAGATATTAAATAACTTAAAACTAAAAGCAATCTAGCCTGTATAAAATGAATTTACATAATAATAATAATTCTCCCATGTCGACTGGCAAAAATAAACAGTCACCACTGAATTTGTTCAAACCTATTGGGAAGAAATTCAAATTCAATTTAGTTTCTTTTACTGTCAAATGGTGACCAAAAATAACTTCTTATAGCTCTATCCATCATGTTTCATCTTCCAACCATCATTCATGAGTTAAACCATAACAATAAGCTTCATGAACTGTTGCAGATATTGATGTAAGAAACACAAATGGCTTCTGATAGAGAAGAATGAGAGATTACATCAGTCTTGGTTCTCTATGATATCCCATAAACACCTTCATAAAACAGTTTCTCTCTGGAAACCATCTGTCGCAGCCACTCAGTACCCTATTCCTCTAATGGAAGCTTTGCCCCCCTCCCTTATCCCAGTCATCCTTTAACTATGTTAGGCCGTATAACCGTGGTGGAGGGGGGACAATCAGACTAAAGCCATCTGCCGGCCCCCCGGGGCCACACACTGTCCCCATAACCTGCCCTCAACCTCATTGGATCTCACTCATTAGAGGACACAGAGGGAATCCTGCTGAGCTTTCAGTGCCGCTGGCTTATGAAGACAGAATTAATGAAGAGGAAAATTGAATTGAGGACATATTGGCCCCTGAGGGGAGGGGGCTAGGGGGGGTGATGCTGAAGAAGCCCCCTCTAGTGGTCAGAAAGGGAATTTTACAATAAATAACAGCTGCGTATAGGAAAAGGAACAGACGATGGACAGATTTCCAAGGCTGAACATCAATGTATATTTCTATATGTTTTTTTACAGGTATTGAGTTGTGCTGAAACATGTATGTAAAGGGTAAAGAATTCAGGGGAATGGACTCATGTTCTTTGTTTCAAAGATCTCAAGACATTCTCAAAATCTCTAATATTTCTTTTGGAGGATGGATATTATGGAATTATGACTTATCTACTGATGTTAGTTATTCCTCTAAAATCTAGTTTGCTGTAATTTTGAAGCAATGTGCTATTAAAAATCATTAATGATGTAGCTACAGGTTCAGCCTGAATAGGAGATCAAATATTAAATCGCTTGATATATATATTTGAAGCGCAGAGAGGTCCGCCATTACGCACGGAGGTTCGCTGCTTTTACCGTTATTAAATCAGCTCAAAACGACATCAGGCTGCTACAGAATAACCACTCATACTGTAGCTCTACACACGCTCAGTTATTATTGAATAATCTGAAGAAAAGTCCGGTTACCTTTTTAATAAACCTTTTTTTTTGCAAAAGTGGCGTCTCCTGTTTTATCACCGAGACACATTGCAGTGCGTAACGTTAATGACTAAACTGCGTTTCCAGTTACGAGGGGAGATACAACATAATTACTCAAAATAGCCCCAGTTCGATTTATCATATAAACAGCTTCACCAAATGAATGTGTTTCTTTATTTTGTATACTTCGTACGATATTATATAACCCCATGGGAAATCTTCCTCCATCTGTTTGTGCAGATGTGTTCATGTTGAACCTTCAGACTTAAAGTAGAGCTCCCCGTATCACTCTCCGTGTCAGAGCTTTTTAATTCTATACTAGTGACGTCTCGTTATTCAAGGTTTTAAAATGTCAGAATTTCAACCGGATTAGAGCGAATATTCGGTTTTTACAGGTGGTATTCAGGATGACGGATGAATAAAGGGAGAGGAGGAATCGATGTGCAGAGGAGGAGAAATGCATATGGAAGTAGAAGGATTACATTTAAAAAGGAGAGGCGCAGAAATAAAAGAGGAGAGGAGGAGAGGAGTGGATCTACAACACTGGTAGAAATAAAAAATAAAGAAAATAATTTGGTCGCTATCCTCATATCAGTCCGACACTATTGTATGAATACTACTTCGGTACATGGGCAGATAGTTTAGTATTTCATATTTCAAAAGAGGAATTTGCATGCATTATGTTTCAAGTATAAAAACGGATACTTTGGCTAAAAATAAAGTTGTAGGAGAGGCTGTTACGCGCCTTTGTTACCGGACTTCTCCTTCATTAAAAAGCAGAATGTTGAGTTATGACATACCAAAAAGATCTTAGAAAAGGTGATATTATGAGTTGGTCCAAGGATATTTATATTTGAGCTGATAAAACAATGACTGTGTGAGCAGGAGAAGTTATTTCTTTAGTTTCTTTTTTTATTTGAATCTATGAATCCTAATGTCTCAGAGGTGCAGTGGTAGTTACCAGAGAGGAGAGCGCAGGGTGCTGTCCCAGCAGGCGGTACACACACAGCGCGCACTCCTTCTCACACTCCGTCCCAACCACCAGCGACACGCACGCGCCCAGCAGCAACATCCACAGGCAGCTTCTGTGTGGGGGGGCAGCCATGGACTGAAAAACAGGAGCATTTCATCCGATTCAAACTTTGTCACGAGCAACATTATTCTCCACAAACAGTCAATTAGGAAGTCATAATCGATTAGAATATTATAACAACTATAGCACCAGGTTTGGGGATTACCGGATTACATGTAACAGGATCACGTAATTAAGATACAAAAAAGGTAGGAAAAAGAAGAATATGTACTCAGATTACCCCTTTCGTAAAAATGGCTTTTCTAGCAGGGTAGCAATGTTACATTACATTTGAAATATAAATCGATATCACATGCACATTATATTTTGATTGGTTAACTGTAGCTACTATGTTGTCAGGATAATTACATTGTTGGTCTATAGACTACTGAATATACATATTTAAAGGCAGGTTCTCTTATCTTTAAAAATGGAGAAGAGGGATTTTTTTAAATAACAATTGTTCTGTCATCTTATAGAATACACTTGAGTAAAATCCATTTCATTTATTTTGTTGTCTTTATTTGATGACAGCGTAGATAGGACATTGCACATGAATTAAAAGTCAAATTAAATAGAAAATAAAACAGTAAAGATATACATACAAACAGTAGAAGATAAACAAAACAGTGAGCATTTACATATCAATAGTGAAGGATATATATCTATAAGTAAATATGTTAATATGTAAATGTGTATGCTCATAATGTCTCTTCAGAAAATACGTGAACAGCAGAAGTTTGTAAAAAAAGAAGTTAGTATCTTACCTCTGGTTTAATTCTAACGACCCTTAAGATTGTCCGTGCTTTCCTCGTCAGCGCGTGCCCTCGAGGCTGGAAACTGTTGAGTGGCGCGAGCCTGTGCGCCGGATATATGTGCGCGCCTCACCCTGTGTTTCACGTGGAGCGCAAAGCGGTCCTGGTTCAGCCAATCAGAAAAAAAACAACTACACACACAGCACATACACACACACGTCACACAGTACCGGACCGTTCAGAGAGTCCGCGGTGAGAGAACGGTGAACTGCCGCGGAGCCTCGGAGTGCTGCGGCTGGGGCTCCGCGGCTTCTTTTAAAGCACTTTGTGCGGCCTACGTCATCCAGATAATGGGCAGAGGGTGGAGGGGGTGGAAGGGGTAAATAGCGTGACGGTGTGACGTGACAAGAAAGCCCCCACGCCATCACCCCTTACCGCACCTCCATTCTGTCACACACCGACTCCCTCCTCTGCTTTATTGCTACTCAGGGGGTCTGTGACATAGATAATAAATGGCAATACCATGCAGGTCATGGGTGGGAATTATATTCCATGTTATTGTGTTTTCAGGTGGTGGGACTTTTTTTAGATAAGAAAACAGGCTTATTGACTATTGCTACACATGCTTTATGAAGGTACTGCAGTTAGAGAGTAGAACTGAGAAATAGTATCTGAGATCAGTTACCATGTCTCCCAAACAATGTGCTGCTGAACGATGATTCCTCTGAATTTATTGTACCATCAGAAAATGTTACATTTCTTTCAAGATTCAAGTCTTTATTGTCACATTCATATGCAGTGGCGTTTTCATATGTACAAAACTGGTGGGGCATGAACAACTTAGTTGTTTATATAAGCTTCTGGTGATTTTTTAAACACGTAAACAAATAGCTGTAGGCAGTGGCGGTTCTAGCTGATATGGCGCCCTGGGCAGTGCACCTTTCGTCGGCGTTTGAGGTGTTTGCTAAATGAAGGTGACTAAATCAATAACTGCAATTTGTGAAGTGCTTTCCTCTGTGGTGAAACTATCAGCACTGCATTACTGAGGAAAGCAGCAGAAAGTCGCCTGGAGTTAAAGAGAGCGGGGCTGCGTTGCGTGCATGGCTTCCTTCTGCAGGTAACGGGGAGACGCGCTCTGGCGGCGGTCTCGTTCAGGATCCGAAAATAACATTTAAATATTTTGCACACTTATTCCACTTATTCCTAGTGTGCCACTGGTTACGGTGCCGCGTGCCAATGGTGGCACGCGTGCCAGGGGTTGCCGACCCCTGCTGTGGACACTAATCAGAAGAACGCACACTAAAACAGCAATGTACTGTAGAGACGAATCAGACGACTAAACATGATCTTAAATATACATATATATATATATATAAATACATATTTTTGGAATTATTATTTTAATTACTTTCTGCTGACAGTCATCAGGCTGCTGATTCCATAGATGTGTCTCCCATTACCTAAAACCCCTGTCTATACTCTCAACTCAGTGTTTACATTAATTAATGCAAAGAAAATCTATAATATCTTGAAAAACGAACTAACTAAAATCCCATTATATCAGCTGTGCAACGTTATGCAAAACGACATCATGTTTTGTAGTTCATTTTGGGTATGCAAAAAGGTTTAAAATATAGCCTATCTACTAGGGATGTGCATCTCCATCACTGAGGCCGATGCGATGCGCATCTCAATATGTTGCCAACGATACGATACATTAACGATACATTTGAAACACCAGGCGATGCGATACGATACGATTCACCCCTGTTGCGATACAGTTCGATACGATTTGATTCAACATTATGCGATCCGGGGCGATACGATGCGATTCAACACAATGCAAAATAATGATACAATTCAATATGGTACAACGATTTTGTTTTATTCCTTATATGCAGCAAATCATAAATTAACAAAAAAGTGCTTCACATATTTGCTTCTCTCTACTAGTCCTGCGCATCCCATTATGCTGTTTCTTTTTTACCATAAAAAAAACAAACACTTGGACCTTTCACAAACTGGCCTTTTCACAAGTGTAGTAGTGTTCTCTGTCTCCAGAGTACAGTTCAATTTGATAACACCTCACAGTTAAACAATTTAAGGATGCATTGCCAAGGATTAACAATGAGCAAATAGTGCAATGCCCACTAATTTTCAGAACATTTTAAACAAATTATTCTCTCAAAAAGTGGGTCTTGAAGAAGCCTCCAAGAGTAAGCTAAATTGTTTTAATGACCCAACACTAAAACACAGCCCAGTGTTGCCAACTCTTTCAATAAAGCTGCATTCACATGATATGCAAATCGCTCTTTGCTCACCGCTGGGCGCAGAGCTTTGTGGTGAAAACAGTCAGTTAGGTTTTATTTGTTTGCGCCGCTACATGTAGCTGTCATCTGACTGGCTGTGCATCACGATGGCAACTTCAGCTCAGAGCCGTTTTACCATGTATCATGTGAATGCAGTTTAAGAGTAGAACAAGTTCCAAAAGTCGCTACATCTAGAGAGGAAATCGTCAAGTTGGTAACACTGACAGTCCGCCCCTGCAAGCATCCCTCGAAGCCACTCCCCCAAAATGATCATTATGGACGTAAATAGTGAACATGTCTATTGTTAGTGCAAAGTCTGAGTGGGCACAGGCAGCCATGTAGGAATGTTTACACAGGCAGGCAGGTATAGGCAGACAGACAGGTAAACATGGGGTAGTATGGGGTGTAGACAGGTAGCTGTAGGAGGACAGGCAAGTCGGCCAAGCAATAGGATCTTTGGGGTCAAATGAAATAATTGGACAGAGTTGTTAGAATCCTGCTACACCTGCAGATACTCGATTTCTTTGTAAAAGCATTTCATTTATCGATAGCTGTCCAGATGTATACTTCAACAAATATAACAAAAACTGCTTCTTCAATACACTGCCCACTATAGCTCTACCTCCTAACAAAGATGACTGAGGAAGCTGTGCGGTGTGGGGGGGGCAGTAGAAACAGCTCTGAATTAATTCATCTTTATTAAAAATCCGATAATGATTAACTGTGGTCAGCACAGCATATGTTTTAGTATATGCTTTCTGTTTGATGTCTTATTGGAGATTGGAAAATCATCCATGTGTAATATAATTTCTTTCCGCTGACTGTGAAACCTGCAGTGTGAGAGTGTGTAAATCTTTGGTGGGAGTTTTTACATGCCTCTGACTGTGATATTATTGGAATGAGAGGAAATGTGCTTAATATGGTCCGTAAATATTGTCATATCGATTTGTATAAGCAATAAGACTAAATAATTGTTTTGAAAAGCTTTATTAAAGGTGGGGTAGGTAAGTTTGAGAAACCGGCTCGAGATACACTTGTTGTTATATTCCATGGAATGCTCTTAACATCCCGATAGCAATGAATATCTGAAGTGCTTTGACAAAAAATCCATAAAAAAATGTCATCTGTGGAAGCCGTAGTACTGTAAAAAGTACGACCAATCATTTTAGCCGGCCCTGCTAAAATAACTGGATGGCCTACCTGCCTGTCAGCCTTCCATCTGTGCACAAACTTATCTCGTGCCCTCATTGGTCATGTGCGCGTTCGTGTGTGTTGGAGGAGGGGCTCTGTAAGAAAGTGGCAGATTTTTTCCGGCTGTGTATTTTCAAATTATAGCGCACTCGAGCTGGTTTCTCCAAAATTACCTACCCCACCTTTAAGGTATGTAAATGTTTTTTAGTACCGAACCCAAAAGTACCATCATTCAATGTCTCAAAGGATCACTGCAATGTTTGTCTTTTGGTTTGGTGTTTTCATTTTCTTTGTGTTTCTGAGGTTTTTTACTTTCTGTTCTTTGGACATTGGTTTTAACGGAATTAGGAAAATCATTATTAGGGGAAGGAATTCTGTGTGATGCAACTTTGCTGTGCTTCTGTTGTTCTGATGAACTGTCATATCTTAGTGGGAACTATAGGAAACCTCAACCAAACAGAGAATGTTCCCCCAAAACCTTAAGCCATAAACCCTCACCCCTCGATTCCACCGGGTCCGTCTGCGCCGCATTACGGCTGCGCCGCGGTTTTGGTCCGGCCTCCTCCGGCGTCATACCCTACCGGGCGCGTTTCAGAAGCATTTCAGAAGCGGAGCGTCTTGCCTGCCGGCTTGCAGTTTTTGTTGATTTGGGCATATTTCCTGGACAGGCTACTTTGTACAGACAAAGTTAATAATAACTGTAATATTCCAGTTATAAACGACATGAATCAAAGATGTGTTGCTGTATTTTAGTGGTAAAAAAATGCATTCATCATCATAATTATTCTATATATATAATTTACACAGTGCCTGTAAACCGGAGGAGAACGCTTGCATTTCTCCTCCTACTTGAAAGACTACGGAGGGATAGGGTCTGCAAAATTAGTTTATTTGGGGGATGGGCCGGATGCTGTCACCGGTCCACTTCCTGCCCAGCGCCTCTGCAACGCCTCGCGTCGCGTAGAAAAATAGACTTCAATCCTATTTCGAGCGGAGCCCAGCGGCGAGACGCTTCTGGGACGCTTCTGAGCCGTAACGCGGCGCGTCTGGTGGAATAGCACCCATTGACTAGAGTGGCCGCGATCCTTGCGGACGCCGCGGCGCAGCCGTAACGCGGCCGTAACGTGGCCGTAACGCGGCCGTAACGCGACGCAGACGGACCCGGTGGAATCTAGGGGTCAGACACTAACTGACTGAGTGCCAGAGGCTGCAAGGGCTGATAATAAACAGTTTAAACAGGAACGGGACGGCACTTTGTGGTCACGTTATCTTGATGGCACCAAAACTTGTAATTGCCATTTTTCTGAAACAATCGCCAGGCTGCCAACGCCTCTCTTCTCCTGTTAAAACGCTGTAAACTGTAATATTAATTAATAATAATAATAACATTAATTCACTGGATCATCCAGGCGTGCTTTGAGGAGCTGAATTCTAAGTGAGGTTTCAGTTTGCTGTATTTGTTCTTTGGCCAGACGGATCTGCATCTCTGCCCTCTCCGTTTCACGGCTCAGCAGTGTCTCGTAGGCATCATCCCTCTGCTCTGGTTGTCTGGTGCGCTTGCATTTTCTCTTTCGAGGTGGCTCTTGCAGTGTGTCATCAGGCCTGTCTGAAGGTCCAGCTTCTGGATCCACATGGGTCAGGAGGACCTCGTCTTGAATGGTGTGAGTCACATCAGGTGCATTGACCACACTGTACTGTCTATCTCCCGAGAGTATGGGTGAAATCAGGATGAACGGGAACAACTCCTAGTTTTGATAATTTAATCAAATC